TGGAACACGAAAAGAGAAATCGTAGTTTGTTTCCTTAAAGACGCACATCGGTGCGCTCGTAGGTCATAGAACAAGATCCGCTAGGAGGGCGACAGAACAGAATATCGTTCCAGTCAGGAACAGGCGCGGCGTTTAATGGATGTCCAGAGCTATCAACAAGCTGATGTCGAAAACCCATAACAAACATAGCGGCCGCCAACTTCATCTCCATCTTCGCTAGGCGACGGCCGAGGCATACAGTGTTCCCTAAACGGCGTTCAATCGTATCACACTTGCTTCAACACTTCATTGAGAAGGACAAACGTACCTCCACCCCATCCCACGTAGCCCAGATGCGCCTGCGGCTCCGGCCTCATAGGATTGAAAGTCCACGGGTCCGCGTAGATTTGCGGATCCAGATGGACGTCACTGAACGGGTACACGACATATGCGCCCGTAGGTACAGCTTTACCGTCGATATACACCGTCGGGCCAAGATTCTTCCTGTTTACCGTTATCGTCAATGTCTGCAAGGCTAATAAACGATGGCAGTCCTCTCACCTCATGGCAGCATTAGATTGCGCCACCCGCAATGTCTCTGTACCGCCTTCAGCCGATTCAATGTGATTGCGCAAAGACTTGCATTCACACCTTTGATCATCGCATCGAGGACAGGAGTTGTGTTCGGGTCCTCCCAGACTTCAACTATCAAAGTATAAGAAAATCTTTACGAGATGTATGAGAAACTGACGGACCCGGAATAGTCGACAGGCGCTCCGACAGTGAACTTATTTCCGAGCTCTTGCCTCTTGTGTCTTGAAAGCGATCAAGGAGGCTAACGATCTCCTGTCGAACCTTCTGATTCCACTCCGGGTACGCACTGAGGAACACGAATAGCCAAGAACCTGATGGCATGACAGAACCGCAGAATCAGCGACGCAACGACTTTGCAATAAGCATGTCGCTTACAGGTTGTGCCTGTAGCTCTGGCACCAGCTGTGATGAGGCCCAAGATGAACTGAATGAGGGCCCCTGGTTAATATTCTAAATCAAGTCAACCACCTCAGAAAATCTCACCCCGACAACTGTAAGGCGGTCTTCTCCTGACTCAAGCAGCATCTGCAGTGTATCATCGTGCCATTGACCGCCCGACTCTCTTGCATTAATTGCGCGAGTAATGATATCATATATTTGCTTCGTCGCCCATAATTTTTTGATCATCGCTGGTGTGGGGAGCCATGGTAGTAAGACGGTCGCCGGAGTCGTACCAGCGTCGAGGCGGTCATATAGAACACGGAGTCGAGCAACTAGGGAAGCATCTTCGGCAATCTCGATACATGACAGACTGCGAACTGTAAGTTGGAAGGTGAGCTGCAAATCGAAGTAAGTACCCTTTGACAGTCCATGACTACAAAGGACATGGCACCTCATATATCTTATCGAAAGGCTCGAAGCTATTTTTCGATCCCCATCGTTCCATCACGTCACGACAATCTGCAAGGATGTAAGGGATAACTGGACAAATAGTATTCACAATGTGGTCGCTCGGCACAACGATAGACAACCCACGCTCATTTAAACGAGGATTTTTCTGCACATCTGCTAGTCTTCTGTGTATGACAGCAATCCTCTTCACTTGAAGATCCGATGTTACGCCTCGTACCATGGGGATCTAAGCGACGGTCGTGAGACACGACAATGGAGACGGAGACAAACAAGTACTGACAGCACCGGACAGAATCTTGAAGCCTTCGGTAAGATCGAAGCCCTTCGCTGCAAAGAAGGTGCGACGGGCGCTTTCTCCCGAGACAACGATGACCTGATTCTGAGGGTTTAATGTGAGCGATGTGTTAAGGGGGGGAAACACATGAGAAGTGTGCGTACCTGCAGTAATCGGAATTGAAAGATCGCCTTCCCAGTGTCACGAAAGCCCGAGTTGATGAAATCAAATCGTCGACGAAAAAACGGGCCTATGTGCAAAAAGCTGAGGCCAGGGCGGTATGTTGGTGCGTCAAGTTCATTTTCATCTTCAGGCAGAGAACGTATGAATATAGAGAGGACACCGAGCGCGATGACCGCGAATGCTATGTGCACCGCGGCTCCAGCGCTGAGGAAAGCGTCGACACCGACAGAGTAAGGCATGTTGTCTCGAGAAGGGAGACGTAGATAGTAGTCGTATGGACGGCAAGTGAGCGCACTAGTGATATTTATACCTCGAGGGAGCCGGCGACCTGTTCTTGAGCATAAAAATCGTAGAGTGCGGGCCCGACAAAATTCCCAGAATGCGACGCCATATAGGCGTTCCGTCAACTGGCCACCTGGCAGAACTTTACGGAGGCTCCGAGATAATCTCAGGGCAAGAATCAGAGACGTGACCTGTTCCAGGACTGGTGGGGAAACATGCTCCTGGCCGCCTCGAGGCAGTGAAATCGGAAAGCTAATGCCCCATGCACTCACCCTCCGTCACGGCCATTTGAATCAGGTCACGACGACTCGTCCATGATTAGGGCGAAAACGGATACGTCGACAACAAGTTGCGGGCTTCGACGGTCGCACCGGAAAGTGCCATCGTATAGAGTAGTGCCAGTGTTCGTTTGGACTTTGTTTGGACAGGACGGCTCCGTCGCTTGATGCCTGTCAAGCTATATGGGGTGCACGAGCCATTCGTGGCATTTGAGACACCTGTTGGTTATTTAATTCATTGAGATAACCAATCACAATGTAAGTGCCTAATTAATAATAAATTCGAGAGGTTTTGAAGAGAGGAAACCTGCTTTGAAAATGGGCAGCGAGCGACGTAATAGATGTTACGACAAGGTCGAGCCAGGCCCTCTCGACATGGACCAGCGGCGGTAACGTGTTGAAGACCAGGCCATTAAAGTAGGAACAGAACAGTTACAGGTGCGCATAATAATTGGCCGTGAGGCCGCGGGAAAAGTAAGAAATGAGGCAAACACGTGAGGGCGCTACGGAAGAAATTTCATATGGATATTAGTTGAGAACTCACATTTTTGCCTCAATGGGTAAAGCGGCTCCGAGGGTGAGCGCCAGGCGTACGCGCGTTGTACACGACCGCAACCGCATGTTGATATGAATAAAAAGGGATCACATCTTGTACTGTGTAGCTAACGCTCCCGTTCAATTGGCCAATATCGCAATTGAATGGAACTCACGACGGCCGCTTCTGGCACGTACCTGCGTTCGAGGTGCATTCGTCAACTGACATACTTCGGAAACGGAAAGGCCAGATAGCACAACAGTCACGTAGATTTTAGTGAATGAATTCACGGAAAATCAGAATAGCGGAACAATTAAGTTCCTAGAACCTACCTGACGAAAATAAGTAAATAAAAAACCGGTGTAAATTTTACAAAGACACCCACCTTCGTACATAGCAAGCCTGTTATCTCGTAATGGTCGCCAGCCGTCCAGTTGCCTGGAAGTGCAGGCGCCTTCATATCCTCACAGCAGGCTCCGAACGTATGACAATACGACAGGGACATCAAACGTGGCAAATTGGGGGAAAGACACAATACCCTCGGTGTAATGCAATCGTCCACACACACAGCCCAATCCGAGCCCTCCAGCGATGCGACGTGGTTAGCTTTGGGGCGGAGGTTTACAGCCGGCAATTCTACCGAGGTCACGGTGCCGGAGACTGCCACGAATTTACAGAGAAAGCAAATGCCAAAGGGTCGACTACACAACAGAACGCGCCGGAAATGTACGACTGAGCTGTTGAAGGTTCAAGTTGATCAACTATGTGTGCAATAAAGAAAATCCAAAAGAAAATCCATGTAGGTCAGCAGAAGTTCAACGTTCAGGACAGGTCCTCGATGATCCCTTGAAGATGTTTCAGTTGAAATTTATGAACTGTCAAAAGCCCGCAGCGACGCAGCACATGTCAGAATCCGCGAAAGGCTGTCTCCGAGAGTGTGAAAGCATGATTCTGACATGAATGGTACTGACCGATAAGTGAGAGACAGTGGATATGCCCTCCAAAGAAAATGGATGTAGAAGGCCGTCTAATAGGGTGTCGGAACGGCTCGCATATGAGTCTTGCAAAATGCAGCTTGGTCGAGTAAAATGAGGCAGATCTTGGGCGGTATGCGGGGTGTCCACATTGACAAAGAAATAGCGAGCGATGAGTCGAGAGCGACGCACATCAGACCAAGGAAGAGCCGGACAACGCAGGAACGAAATGTCCGGACAACGTCACCCCCACATATATCGCAACATACGAGATCCCGCATCGAGAAATTTGGAAGATTCTGCCGAGATAGTGAAGAATATACTCTGGCAGGCATCTCTTTCCAGTAACCCAGAGTTTATCAAAGCTGTCCCGACGTCGCAGGCCGCGGCGGCACCGCAAGTATCAAGATACTTCACAGCGTCTGCCATCGACAAGGTGCAACAGGATCGAAGGACGTGACACCATTAACGTCGAGATTCGCGGTCGAGAACAAGGCGGTCGACATCGAACGAGTAGCCGGAGTACTTGAGTGGGGCAGAATGAAATTTCATTAACACAAGCTCCCGACACCCGAGAACAATATTAAGATTCTCACGCAAGATCCCGACCCACAGATGCAGAAGACAAGACTATGATTTTGTTTCGCTGCCCAAAGAACGTCAACATAGCCGCGCCCGGTCGCTGTCGAGTCGAAAATAATCCAAAAGGAGATGGGCAAGCATGCTGCGGCCACGACTGTACGTAGCCTGGTTTGGGTAGATGAATAGTCTTTATCGAAAAAGATTTCACTCTCTCACAGAGTGTGTGGACCACGGAGGTAAAGTTCTTGTGGCCTTGAAATAGGATGACTCATCGGTAGCACCCCATCGAATGGGCTATTCAAACAAAAGAAAAAAGAGATCAGTTTGTATGCTGTACTTATGTTGTATTATATGGGCCCAGTGTAATTCCACAAAAATCTTGAAAATTTCCAGATAGGCCTCGTGGTAATTAATTAGACAACAAATGTTCATGAACTAGTTATGATAATTCCCTGAAATTGGGACACGACTCAATAGCTCAGTGGTAGAGCATGAGATTGCAGTTCTGAGTAATAACAATCTTAGGGTCCCGTGTTCGAACCACGGTTGGGTCTCGTTTTGCCTCCCATATGAGGGCCTATAACAAATCCATACAACATTTCTAGGTCACTGATCAAGGAGTACACTGAAAAGAACTTTTGCCAGATGAAGGTTTTATGCAAACGTCGTTTACAGCCCAACGCTACAATACAACATGATAGTAAGATGGTCCTCTGTGTCCGTGCTCATATTTAGATGTGCCTAATCACTGCCGGACGGAACGACGGCATTCGGACTGACCACGGGGGCGTCGGCCGAAGGATCAATGCTGGGTTCAAATACGCCGGTATAGGTGACGAGTTGACCCGATCCATATACATCTTTCTCAGCCGGTGCTTTGAAGGGTTGGCCTTCCGTGTTGAAAACGTCTGTGTCCGCGGTGTCAGCATCGTTATGTTCTAACAGCCTATGCTCACATTCATCCAAACTGATGACATCAGGATCATCGAACGTCAAAAATCTGCGCCAATAACCGTCAGGACTCAGGCTATCTCAGAAAGTCACACTCACAGGTACTTCAGAACCTCAGCAAACCAGAAACTCTCAGTTTCGTTTTCCTTTTCCGAATCTGTACTGCTGACATTGGAAATGCCGGCATACCCCACGGTGGTCGGTAGATATGTCTTGAAGCTCTCCAGCGCAGCCGCCGCACGATAGAAGTACTTAGTATCCCCTGTCGCGCGCCAGGCATAAAAGTTGCTTTCCAATACTTCAGGGCGCTGAATATAGTATGCAGTGGCTAAAATGCAATTTTACTCATGATCTGCATAATTGTCAAAGAAAACTCACTAATATAAAACCCGTGTTCGTCGTAGAACTCAAGCTCTTCGGTTGTTGGCGCAGAAAGTCCAGTATAATCTCCGTCACTTGAGATATAGGCGAACGACTCTGGGCCAATGCCAGTTCTGTTTCCAATATCAGCATACGAAATCCGATAGAAGAATCAAGCTCACGCCGTGCTGTTATACGTGTTCCAACAGGCATCGGTAAGCGCCAGGCCCATGTTGAAAATTGTGTCATTATTCAGCAATTTGCCGCCGAGTATCCAGTTTCCGCCGGCGTAGCACGCCAAATGCTAGACGACATGCATTGAAACATAGCAATCGACCATGTTTAACATGACTCACAGATCCCACATGTAGGATCGTGCCATCATCCCAATCAGCGGTGTAGGTATGATTACCGACCGTAGACGTCTAAGAAAACGCGGAAAATGAGTATTGTCGAATAAAGAAAATTTTACGACCCACACGAAGCAACGTGGTAATGGATGAGTCCACCGCTGTGTACCAAGTATCAGCGAAAATCGTGTCGTCAGTGTTGGATAATCGAGCATATTTGATCAGATATTCAAAATAGCTGCAAGCAACAGTCAAATTTGTCCAGTATTATCATCCATGGGAAGCACTCTACCTATCGGATCCGCCTCCCCACGTCTGTTTAGATTTGACAATTGAGTATGCTCCTTAGACAGCAGACGTGGAAGACACTATACCACGTAAGCATCGCCAAACGTGTCGCTGTCGACATTGTAGACTTGTGCTGCTAGGCCTATTCGTTGTGATTTCACATGCCGGCCCATTATTCAGGCACAAGCCAAAAAGAACATACCAGGGAGTGGCGGAGTCTGAAAATCCAAAGTTGGAAACCACGTGATAGCCAAGATATTGACACACTCACTGTGTCTATAATTTGCTCCACAGCTCCGACGGCCAGCGACCCGTATGTATCATTGCCCGTAAAATTGGAGAGCCTCGTCCATTCGAGGGTAAGCTGTGCAACATAATCAAGCGAAAACAAAGAAGCCTGGTGCTTGTCTTGCTCACGGTTCCCGCTTCAGCTATGTTGGTCTAATGAACACGTAAGGACAATAAAGCGAAGACGATAATGTGAACTGACAGTTGTGATCGTTGGTTGGTTTGTCGAAAAGTTAAGATAGCCATACGGAACAGTATAGCCCTGCAGAAAAATCGGTACGAAGTGTAAAATTATTGTATTTGTTGGTATACGCACATCAATCCAGGCGTAACTCAGTTTGTTGGCGACCTCTTGCGCCTTGTCAACCAAAATTTGGTGCTGCTGGCCGCTGAGTTCATAAGCGCTCAATAACCCGCCGACATAACGAATCGTCGTCTCAAACAAGCTAATTAATGACATTCAATATTCGATGGACATGGCTCGAGCAGAAAGGACGCACCTGATCGTGTCATCGGTCGTTGTAACGTTGAAATCGATGGTGGCTATGAACTCTAAGGACTCATTGAAATAGTCCTAACGGTACGAAATATTAATGTGCAAGTTAGGAAGATATACCACCAATACCAACATCCAAGCCCATAAGCACCTAATCTCAAAACACGTCAATATTTGTAGCCACTTCACCGGGGAACACACGCCATACCGTCGTGCCCAGTGCATCCACGATCGTTGCGCCCCAACCACCATAGTCGTCTACATATGATTCCGTGACCTATTCAACAGTAATCAAGGTTCCACGAAACAATACAAAAAACCGGAGGTTACCAACCGGCTCAAGATCATCGTGGCCCCAAGCGTACTCCCTGTCCACTCAATTGAGAATTGCTGTTGCTACGCAGATACGCCCGAAAGTGCTCACTTGTAAGCTTCATAGCTGTCAACGAACACATCAATGACAGCCGAGCGGTATGTCGATGCGGAATCGGGGAGAGTCAAGTTCGATGCCTGGACAGAGCCACCCTGTACTGCAGGTAAAAGCAACAGTGGAGCAAACAACACGGGTACTATGGCCAACATGGTGTATTACGACCATGTGGCAGTACACCGACAGATGCGTCAGCCTTTATACGCCTCAAGAAAACCCCTTGCCTGGCATACACGCATGACCGAAGTGCGAGAAGCGTGTCTTCCCACGTTGAACCGCCCCAAATCACCCGAACCTCGTGCAGTCCATCTGCTAAAAATCAATGCGCTCCTTCTCAATCAGAAATGAGCCGCGGATGGCGATAACAGCAATGGCGTAAGGTAGCGCCATGCCAGCAGGCAATTACTGTTGCCGTCACCTCGTGATTCAAGTTAGCCAGCACAATAGTGTCGACTGTGAAGTTTCTGAAGTTAGACTGAAGAAAGAAGATCTACCGTACGTCCGAATTGTCATGCCCATGCGCGCGACGGCCGGCGCTGTCATGCGTAAATAAAGATAGGCAAGGGCTCTTCGACAGTGCTGTGGCTGGAATGCGGACCAAGATGCTTCGTTATGGAAAGCTGTTTGCAGAACGATACAGCGGCTCTCGAATCGATCTGAGATGCCAACGGCTTCACATACCAGTTAGACAAAGGAAAGGTATGTCCTGGGCAATTGCAGTCACGTACATTTATAGGAACAAGACATTGCAACTGACATTGACAAGCCCTGATGAATTGTGATCTTCCTGACGCGCAAAACCAAGTGAGACGTCGACGAGGTCATCCGACATTTGCGAAGCGTAAACTATAGTTGGAATGCATTGGCGTGCGTCCTCAGCATACTGATTCAGGCTGAGTATGGAACTAGAGGTCCTGTCGTGGTAGCCGGCTGCAAAACATCAACGGGATGGACGAATGACATTCTCTTCCTTACTGCTTATTCAGGACTTCATATGGTTTCCTCCATTTGTGTAAGTACAGATCGCACAAATGGTCCATCCAACAGGGTGCATTCTCAGTTACCAATTCCATGCATGAGTGACGGAGTGTATAGCATCAAATTTTACTTAAGGACAAAAATACGAGACAAAAAGAGTACTCGGGGCAGGGGCAGGGGAATGCTCATTGCTGGTCCAGTCTATCGAGAGCGCTGATCGCTGATCGCCGTCTCTGATGCGATTCCGATCAAACACGTCGACCACAGACGCGCAGCGCGTCTTGCCAGCTTTACCGTTAACCGACTTGTCACAGACCGTCATGTATCTTTCCCCATTCCTGCTTCTACTTGCATCAACGGCGCAGGCCGCAATTTTTTCCGTTCGCTCGCCCAAGTTTACCATCACATCTTCAGACGGTGCTGAACTTCGCTCAGAGTCGTAAGTTGCATCCGCCGACTTATAACACAACGGCATCTCACAAACTGCTGTCAGGCTTCCTGTGGTCAGCAAGGCATCTCCCCCACTATCTTTAGGTCCGATAGACCACTTGAAGTTAACATTTCAAGTTGTCGACGATGGAACCGGCAAGGGGGTCCAACCGCACCAAACCTTCCTTCGGTTCTATGACTCCCAGTCGGGAGAAGAGGGTATCCAGCCCGTGCGAGTCACTAGCTCTGGAAAGGCCAAATTTGAGCTCGTGCGTCGTTCCGTTGCTCGACTCGCTGTTTCGCTAAAAATAGCGTAGAACATGGCGAAGCCTCCGATTTCTATACCCCCGACATCTACAGCACCTCTGACCGTCACGCTGATCTTGGGTTCGTCACTGTACGCACCTCACAAGATTGACCTCTTCGATCTCTATCTGCCACCGTCGCAGCTTGCGCCCGTGCATCCGGAAGAGGTTTCCTTTCATCCCCTTCCTGAGCTTCATCATACTTTCCGTCCAGATAATGTCCCGCCAGCCAAAATTATATCCTTCGTGTTCGCGGTCCTGGTCTTTGTCGCTCCTTGGGCAGCCCTTGCACAAATGGTAAATCTCATTTGTCTCTTGCCGAATTCTTCCCTGTGAATGACTTGTTCGTCTGTGTAGATGCTGGTCGTCTCTCCCAAAACGCCTCATTTGACATCGTCAAGCATTCTGCCGTTTGCGCTTTCCCTTGCAGCATTCGAAGTCTTGCTGGTATGGTACTGGGTCGACCTTCAACTCGGTCAAGTATTACTGTACGGCAGCTGCCTGGCATTCATTACTCTGTTCACGGGCAAAAATGCATTAGCTAGCTTGGCTGAAAATAGAACTGCCAAAAAGTAACATATATATATATCTCCGTGCAATGAAAGGTTGTGCTGTATTATAAATGGAGCAAAGCCGTTCACTTAAGTAATATCTAATCGAGATTCGTAGAGGCAATTCGGAGAGCTTCGAAACGGAATTGTTCAATGGCTTATAAAGGGATTATAAGGTGATAGTGAGGCCATTATATGGGTCGACGTGCTACTGCTGACAGCGAGTGAATCTTCAGGTCAAGAAACTAGGTGAAATGGATCCATGCATACTTCAGTAATGCAAACATGTAATTACCATGGTATACGTCAGTCTGTGCCATGGAGAATGAGCCGCCAATGGCTAAGTATAGTCGTCGAGGTTGTGTCTCCGGTCGTGAAGGCCAGGTCCAATTTACCTGCATGCGTATGAAGTCGTCAGCCTGGTTAAGCAGGACGGGAAGCTTAAAGATATTCTGGCCGTGAAAAAGAAACTCTCCGTTATTGAATATCCCGCTGAGGATAACATTGACCGAGTCGACATCCGACAGGTCATAGAATCTTTTCCCACCGGTACCGCTTCGTGCCACGTTGAGATAAGTACGTCTAGAAATTCTCAAGGGCCGATGCAGCACTGTCTGAATATCCAACGTCTTCAGAAGCCCTTCATGAAGTCAAGTTGGTCTCCAGGACCGCAGTCAGTCGCAAGTCGTATCTTTTGCCCGAGACGTTAAAAGCTCACCATTGGAGAAAATTCGCAGCCTCAACCTTCCATTCTGCCCGGAACGCCACTCCGCCTCAGCAGGATTGAATACATATCTTTCTGGACCCGTTACTGTGCTTACAAGTGCGGGTCACACGACAAGTAAAACCTTACTTTCATGGATATAGCCTATTAAACCCTGGCAGCGCTTGCGTACAGGTTTTGCGGCTGCGCAATGGTCGATAAGCAGAGTAGTCCAGCAACAGTGTAGCCACTGTCACCAGGCGAGTCTGTACATGAGCTGCGTGCTTGAATGGATGCCTGCATAAACTCCAGTCCGTCCCATGAAAATAAACAAGGAGCGACCTGATCTCCCGGCAGGCGTCACTGTAGTCGCACAGCTGTACATGCGCATCAACAAATTCGCTAGAAAGTGATGCATTGTAGTGGTCATAGAGTTATACAACAATAATGCGACACATACATACTTACCTTGATCGATTTTGGTCAGGGACTAACCACATTTTTCCGGATGTTTGCCTATGGAAGATCGGCGTCATTTATTTTACTGAATTCTGACAGACAATCAGAGTATCTGTCTGCAGTGCTGCTCCAAGTCTGTTCAAAAATGTTGGAATATATAGATATAAGAGTAAAGTCCTGAGTACTCACATCTAACATGCCTATGTCAGAACTCTGAGCTATAACGAAACACGTCTTCGACAATTATAGATGTTCCCCACAAGCCTGAGTACTTGAGTGACCAAAGCTGAAAGCGTTTAGTTATCGAAGAGAGCGACCGACAGAACTCGTAAGCCGGCACAGGCAGACACATTGAAGCCAATAAGTATATAACTGATGGACGTCATCCTGGCACCTGCACGGGGATAAATCAAGTGTACACGGTGGAAAGCAAGCATCGAGTGCCAAGAGTTCGGAAATGCACGTACTGACAGGTTTTTTCTGTTTAATTTACACCAACTCAAAGTCAGCATCCGGTCTGCCCGCTTACCAGCATCGGAGGCTAAGGAAACTGTCCCTCGTCCTGAAAGAGGACTAGAGGCAAAAAGGAAAATCAAAGCTATTAGTGGTGGATGCATTAAGGGGGAGTCGAACCCCCGGCGGGTCGAAGATAACATGGTTGACATGGAATTGATGGCAACGACCCAGGTTACCGCTACCCCATTAATGCCGTAAACAATTTATTTACTTCCAAGGTGATACAGCAACAAGCGACCCCAACCCACGGCCACTCTCTCTACTAATGAAAGGTACGCCCAGGTACGCCCAGAAACTCGTACGGTAAGGCCAAACAAGGTGAAAGCATCAGGAAATTTTTATCGACGTGGAGGCGCACGTAGAGAGGCGTAGCCCTACGTAGGTCAACTCTCTACGCGCTCATGCGTCTTCTCTACGCCATCTACTCCGATGCACCTTTTTCCTGATTCAGATGAACCTGGTGTCCGCCGTGCAACAGGATTGATGTCACAATTGGATTAAAAAATAAATTGGATCAATAATTGATCTTGGTCTGTGTACAGGAGACTAATTATTTAAGATGCACAATACGTACTTGACACATTGGTCGCAATTGCTTTTTTGTTTGAATTTGAGAGCTTGGATAGTTATTCTTGTAAATAGACACTTCGAAATGACCCGGCCACGGTCTCAACTATTCGCCGGCCAACGTAACTTTTCGGCAACAGAGAAATCCTCATCACGAATCATGTTTACATTGTGCCTGCACAAAGTAAAGTATCAGCACCCAGAAAGAAACACATAAAGAGGGCGTACTTCATCTGAAGATGTGATCGAAGACCGTTGAAGTTAAACAGACGCGCTGGGTCCATCGACCTGACAACGTCATTACTGTCGCATCTGCCGCCCTCGCTCGCGACGCCGTGCTCCTGGGACGTATCTTGCTGCTTTGCACGTGCTTGGCAGTGCGTGCACTGGAAGATCATCTTCTCCCGATATTTTCTGGCGGTTTCAGAGTCGCCCAACAGACGCTTGCACAGTCCAAACTTGTGGACACGATGCTCCGCTAGTGTGTTTACATCCGCAAGTGCAAGGGACATGGATTCGTGCCGATGACTATGCCCGACCTTGCACCATCATTAGCAGGGCAAACAATCAACGCGGAGCACAACCCACTCACCATACCCTTCGCATGCAACACGAGAGGCGGATCGCATGAATTGCAAATAACGAATGCATCGTCTTTCGGATGTCCGAGAGACGACGTGCTCGTGGGGTCCAACTGAAGAAGCGACAGATACTGTTCCATCGCGGCTTGTGCCTAACCAACGCCCGAATTAGATCGATCACCATTGTTCTGACGAAAGGCATGCCTTTTCATCTTTTGAGAATTGCTTGGCCGCCCACCGCTCAGGTTTCCGGATAGGGTCGGACAGTCTGCATTCGTGCGCGCACGCCGCCTTGAAATCGAAGCAACCATTGTCGTGGTACTCCGCATCCTGCGGCAGCGCGTCGCACCGTTGGCATCGGAATAGCGCGGTGACGCGCTCCACGGGATGCAGCTTGTCGGGCGTTGCCTTCCACTGTGGTGTGCCTAATCGAACCCCCAAGTCCTCTCGGGCTGCTGCGACCCAGTCCTTGATCTGTTTCGCAATAATATCGCTGACTGGTGGCTGGCTGAGGTCTGCGCTGGACCTCACGCTTACCATCTCTGTCATGATCTGCAGCCCACGAAATGTCGAGAGCGACATGGGAACCTGGCCGATTGATTTGAGCGCTGCGTAGTGTTTGTCGACGTTATCCTTGGCTGCCATGACCGCTTTCGTAAGAGCCCGATCGGCGCGTCGATCGACCCCACGACGGAGCTCCTCGTCTAATCGCGTACGTATCACACGGATGTCTGCAAAAGCATGAGCTCCAGAAAGCAATGAAAGACGGTCGTGCGACAAACCCATATCAGTAACTTCCTCTAGAGCGGAGTTCTTCATGCGAATCAAGTTGACGATAGAAGGCGTGTTAGTTAATATCCAAAGATTTATTCCCTCGTTTGCCGCCATTGTTTTTATACTGAGCACCGATATAAGTTTATTGACCGTATAGCATGAAACCCCCATACTTACAAAGCTTTGTTCGCTTCACGAATCCGCTCCGTGTCAGCGATGTACCTCACCTTCCAAGTATGAAGCTGCTTGTAGAACTATGGACAACATGTTAAAGGGTTGGGAAGAATGATCCTGCTATCTGACATACCAGCATCAATGCATTCTTACGGGCTATTTGGGCTGCCCGACCCTGCAAAAATCGAGTGAAATTGGGCACAAAAATCATCGGTGACTCCAGTAAGGCTCACAGCAATATAGGCTTCTACTTCTACACTAGCGGTTTGCTGGTTGTACTCGTGTACTGCAAGATCCCAATCATGCTTGAAAAGTATAGCGATCTGTGAACTGGAGGGCACTGGTGGCGCAATTTGAGTAGGTAGAGGCTAGGATAACAACTCCTTGCGCTTACCGCCAGAGACTGGGAGTGCAGAGAATGAGGTGAAATAACACGTAGAGAAGTGGAAAGTACATACCAAAAAGGTCAACGTTTTCACATACAAGGGTCCACGACAAGATGTCCCGATGCGCCTGAATGGTGGCAGCGTTGCCGGTCCCGACGTGCGTCAATGCGCTTCGAGTCACGAACAGTTAGATAAGAAAATGGTTGAATCCGATTGGAACAGTGCCTACTGATTGGCAGCTTTCAGGCACCTGGCCTTCATAACTGGTCAGGAGGAATATGACATGACATTTAAGGTATGGGGAAGACTTCTCACATCTTTGCAGCACCTGAGCCGAAGCGCGAAGGACGAGTACATATCGCTGATGACTCGCTTGCAAAACTGGCATCCGCAAGCGTAAGTCGCGATCAACGAGGAAGTGCGACATGTGTGGCGTACCTGGCATTCTCCCTCATCAAAAACGAATGCGGCATACGAAGCATCTGTGAAGATGGGCGGGGGGTCTGGTAGGCCGCACGTTGTACGTGCAACTTTCCAGATGCCCTGGCTACGGCTGTCGAGCAGAGTGTTGCATAGATATTTGCTACAGCGCGCGACGGCGAGCACGTTCTTCGACGAGCCGGTATACATGAGGATCTCGGTGAGCAGCTCGATGGGCAGCCTCTCAAAATGGGGCGCGAAATCAGAAGGGACTTCCTTCTGCGTTGATCTATTCAACCTTCTGCGCTTGGGAAGACGCAGTTTCATCTTGCTCTGCGCATCGGTGGCTCCGGGAGGCTTCACCGAGTTCCTTTTATCTTCTCCGGAGTCGGCCATGCTGAGTTCAGACAATCAGAGAAGACATATTCATGAGTGAAAGTCGCAAAGCTTCTGACGCGCACAAGGCAACAACACAGGAGTCCTTTAGTCCACACAAACGTACAACAGAGAGTTAGTGAGTGATGGTGACACTTGCTTTATTTATGTAAGACTCATCGCGTAGTTTTCCCGATTTAGACGTGTTCCATCATTTTTTTGTTCAACTATCGAATTTCAGACTCAAGCCATAAAAGCACCTGCATGTTTTACAAATCATAGTTCTGTATGTACGGGAGCTGGAACATTTGTCTCGATATCGGGCGCAACTGCGTCCAGCAATGATAGCTCCGGAGTCGATGACGATGTAGCCATTACCGAAGCGATACTAGTTGCTAAGACAGACAACGCGGTCTCCGTGAATGACATTGTGGCTGCAAACAAAGGCGAAGCGTCGGAAGAGCTCATCTCTGATGCAGACAGAAAGACGTCTGTGGAACGGACATCTGTGATCGTAAAGGCGCCGCCACTGCTCGTCTTCTGTGGCACAAATCTTGTCCACCAAAACGCGATGCGTATGCCTTTGTCCACAAGGCGCTCCTTAATGATGAACAGGACAACAAGGAAGAAAAAGCACAGCCCAGCAATAATTAGAAGTCGATCCAACCAGTCCGTCTTTTCCAGCGCTATAATGAGCTGTTTGGATGTGTCCATGAGGTTCCCTAGCGTGTCGTGGGCAGACGAAGTTGCCAATAGTGATGCGGTGGATCCATCTAGTTATGAAACTAAATGAGTGTACGCATCCTTAGCCAGAGAGAAAGAAAAAAACGGACCGAGTATTTGAGAGCTCAGCACGGAACGTTCCAGTTCCGCTTGCATGAGACCAACTGTGCGACGTAGTGCGTCTGTGACGTCGTTGTTGGCCTTCATGAGCGCATCGTCACTGAGTTTCGTCGTCACTGTTGATTTCTCAGAGAGAAAAAGTAGAACTAACGTCGCTTTCTCGTCGACGCTCCGATTGTCGGACATGGCAGCAGCCTTGAGTAGCTCGTCGCGATCACTTGTATGTTTCCGCGAGTCTATCAGACGCTTGGAGGCAAGCAAAGCAGCCCGATAGTCCTGTCTTATCCTGTAGAACATATGAGCTGTGACACTATGTGGACAAATCAAATCAACCTGACGAGAGATTTGTGCAAGGATATAACAGCCTCATTCGTGCCATCGGTGTATGAATCCAGTGTCTTGTAAAATCATGAACGCCTGTCAATCAACGCAGAAAAAAACATACCTCTAATTGAAGAAAAAGCCGATCCATGTCCTCACGTAATTCAGAGGCGATACTCTGTTGGAGGGAGAGAGGACCTTCACACGACCTGAGGCGCGGAATCTGGAAGTTGACGAGATCATCTCGCCGTCGCTCGGCGCTGTCAATCATCTCCGATACGTTCCCAGAAAGTCTTGTTGGAATAGGAGGCATTTCTTCACGTTATATGCGACAAGCAGCACACAATATTCAACTCGACACGTCAAAGTCCAACAGGAAGAGGCAAAACCGCGTGATTTGCTAGCACGGCGTTTGCTAAATCAGTGATCGATTGATCGGCGATTGAACGGTGATCTAACCTAACCATAGACCATCTCTGCGCTTTACTTGAACTTGATCTATCCGATGCGACTTTGCATTATCAGGGAATACTTTAGTGCTTTGATGGAAACAGGCGCTTCAGCATATGTCATGTTGCAATGCATCGTCATTTTACTACAGTGGTCACGACATCGCTGGCTAGACACAGCTGGTCGGGTTCGGTTTGGACTAATCGGAATGTAATCGGGTTGTATCGTCCAAATGCCGTTGGATGGCCGACTGCCCGGTGTCCAGATCCTTTCGCTCGCCGCCGCTCAATATCGATTCGTTG